CTAACCAGCAGACACCAACCAGAGGCCCGTGCTCCCCAGATTTTTCACCGGATGGTTTTTCAGAAGTGAATTGCCAGACCTTTCTTCTGAGGTGCCTGCCAATCTTTAGGTTGGCAACAGAACCTGTAACAACTTGTACCCCCGACCCACCTCCTCCTTTTCCCCTATCCCGGCCTCATTCCCAACGGCGCCTTCCCAGAGGGGCCTTCCTTGACTCCTTCGGCTAAAGCAGCCCGTTCCCTACGACGTCTCCCCTTCTTCTGAACACGTTCAGAACCTTTGTCCTGACATGACTGGGCTTTGCCTTGGTATCCTCAGCAGGAAGGAGCTCCCGTGGACAGGGCCCTGCTCACTGTGGCCACTTGGTGCCGAGGACGGTGCCTGGTACACAGTGGTTGCGTAATTAATATTTGTGCACAGGCTCCTATGGCCCATGCCTGCGCTGACTCTGGAGTCGCCCGGAGCCCAGCGCCTGCAGTGGGTTAGAGCAGCGAGCTGCATTCCCTCCAGGGTCCCAGCCCAGCTCCATGTCCACACTGGCTTTGTAATCTGGGGACATGGCTGAGGCTCTCTCTGCGCTTGAGAGATGCTAGTGGGTGTCCCCGGAGCCTAAGTGTGTTGATGGGGGAGGCAGGACAAAGACTGACGGACCCCTCCCTTCAGAGGACCTTGATCAGTAGAAGGTCCCATCCTGGAGTCCCGTGTGCCACAGCCCAGGTGGTACGCTTGGTTGTGGGTGGGGAAAGCCGCAGCTCTGTGTCTGGTGTGGAAGCCAGCTCCTGTTTATCTCGCCTACCACACAGAGAGGAAATGAGGCCAGGGCCAGCCTCACAGCCAGCCAGGGTGGGAAGAGGCAGAGTGGGAGGTGCCCAGGGTCTCCCGTGGCCCCTCCCCCAGGGCAGGAGGGAATTTTCCTCTCCCCACCTCCACCTGCCCCCACTGCAGGGAGTCACTCCACCGCACCCATCCTGCCTGGGCCAGTCTTCCTTGCCACACTGACTTCTTCCTGCTCCCTCCCCCAGGTCCAATCCAGCCCTGCTCCCAGGTTCCCAGGCCTCCCCGCCCCCCCCCCTTTGTTCCCAGCCAGGCCAGTTCAGTGTCAATGCTGACAAAGGTGAGGCATGTGCGCCCCCAGTGGGTGGAACAGAGGAAAGCAGGCCTGTCCCTGGGCTCAGATGTAGGTATCCGGCCTGTGACAGATGCAGGGACTTGCCTGTCTCGTCCCAGCAGGGGTAGAGAGTGGGACCTGCCTGGTGGTGGGTGGAGGGGGGGCGGGGCAGAAGGCTGGGTCCCACTGATGACACCCCTTAAGCCCGACACACTTGGGGAGAACCATACTGGCTTCTTACAGGCTGACTCCAGCCCTGCCCTGGGCTGCAGGGCACAGGAGGCCCAGTGACAATGTCATGGCTCTGGGTAGCCGGGGTACCCCTCCCGTGGGGTAACCATGGGCTACCACCCTAAAGAGCTGCTTTGAGGGCACGGCTCTGAGGCTGGACCGCCGCAGAAGAGCTGGAGCAACCTCAGACGAGGAGGTGCTGCCGACTCGCGCACCTGCTGCTGGGGGTGGTGGCCCCGCCCTGAGCCCCCGCGCCCCGCTTGGGCCAGCCTGGCTCAGTCTCGCTCGTTTCTAGGGGTTCAAGACTCCCTGTGCTCTCTTGCGACCCAGAGCCGACTGTGGAATGGGGGTATCCACTCGGGCCCCCACTCCAGTGGTCAGAGGGTGAGAAGCAGTCAGGCAGGATGTTCTGAGGCTTCTGCTTTGCCCCGCCTTGGGAAAGGCTCCCGAGGGCGGAGGTGTTTCTGCATTTTCAGTAAAGAACACGACCTTTCAGGTAAAGCAATGTGTCCATTGCCCAGAACCCTTCCCACAGCTGTTATATCCCATGTCAGGCCTGGTTGTTTGTTTTCGGGGGGGGGGGTCATCTTTCCTCCAGAGCTCATGGGAGTTGGGGTTCTTGACCCTGGAGGCCCCTTGTAGTGGTGTGGGGGCACTGGGATGGATGCTCCAAGTCTAAGGTGACCAGACGCCCAGCTTTTGAGAGGACAGTCCTGATTTTTAACACTTTTTTCCATGTCCTGCAGTGTTTTTTAAAAAGTCCCAATTTTTGGAAAGAATACACAAGCTAGAATACACGGTTTTCAGCTGCCATGTGGCTATTTTGCCAGGATATGAGTTTTATCAATGGTGTACCGCTTTACCAATGTTAACATCTGGTCACCTTATCCAAGTCTACCCCCTCAGCAATTGAAGTGGTTTGGGTGGCACCCAGGGACCTTTATCTTAAGGGCCCCTAGAAGATCCTAGCATGCGGCTAGAATGGAGAAGCACTGAGCTAGCTGACAGCCCTGCTCCTCTGGGGCCTGACCCCGAGGGACTGAGGGTCCATCCAGTCTGCCTCCGCAGAGGCTGGGCTGGTCATGCCTGGTGTGGAGCAGCCTGAGAATCCCAGTTGGCCCTGGCATGGGTGTGTGTGTGGGGGTTACCGGTCTGTCCTGCAAGCAACCCAGGCTGCTCAGGCAGGAAGGAGACAGCCAGCCACAAGGCCCAGGGCACTGCTCACTGGGCCAACACGCATCATCATTTCAGGCAGGCTCTTCCCTTCTGGGCTTCCTGCACATTCCGGGAGTACCGACAGACAACAGGAACATCGGGCAGTGAAACCTTCATACTCGAGTCCCGCATAAAACGTATACCTTTTACTAGGCTGTGCCCCCTGCCCACCTGCTCAAGGGCCTGTTCATGAGGACACAGAAGCTCCATGGACCACTTCCGGTTCTCAGTGGTTTGTCTCTTTGCTTATACGCAAAGGTGAGAAGTACTTTGTGGGACGATGGGGAGACAGACACAGCCCAGGAGGAAACCAGTGGCCGCTTGGGTGGCCAGCTGTTCTGTCAGCTGAGGGGGACACAAATCTTGGGAGATGGGTACAGACTGGCTGTGGAGCACAGGATTCCAAACTTGCTTAGTCCACTGCCGCCTTTTCAGAAAACAAATAACGCAGAGCCCCCTGGCAGTGAAAACCTCCTGTCCTATAGCCCATAATCCAGAATAACCTGCAGGTATCTGCTTTGAAGCCTGCCCTGGATAGTTCCAGTGCCATCCCCCCTGCCCCCCGGGCAAAACTGCCCACTGTGGGAAAAGAGTGGGTTGGGGTGGAGGGCTTGGGGCTTTGTCTCTAGGTAAATATGAAGTCTCCCAGGTGGACACACAGTGGGTCCTGTATTGTTCTGGATGGATCTGTGTGCCTGACAGAACACCCTGAGCCAGGGATAAGACAGGGCACAGATTGTAAGGCTTCATCTCGTTGGTCTGATTCTGTCACTCACAAAACGGGCAGGAGGCCCCACAGATGGGATTGTCGGTGTTGTCGGCGGAATTAGGCACAACTATGAAGAATTTCAAGAGGCTCCCTGGTGGTGTGATGGGTAATGAGTTGGGCTGCCAACCACAAGGTCCACCGTTTGAAAATGCCAGCTGCTCTGCGGGAGAAAGAGGAGGCTTTCTACTCCCATAAAGAGTAGAACCACCCACAGGGGTGGTTCTACCCTGTCCTATTGGGTCACTAGGACTCAGAATCGACTGGATGGCAGTGAGTTCTTTAAGTTTGAAGAGATGGCATCTGAGAAGGGTGACGCCTGCTCAAGATGCCATCAGGGGCCCCTGCGAGGGGTGCCTGCGGCCCCCCCAATGGCTGAAAGTGAGGCTGGCTACTTCTGCCTCTGGAGAGGGGGCTGAGCAGAGCTAGACCCTCAGAGATGGCCAACGATTTTGGCCAGGAGTCCTAGCATTGTCCAAGAGTTCCCTGCTGCATGCTAGCTGAAGTCAGAACCCCCGGGGGGGAGACGAGTCAGCCGGTTTCCAAAAAGACCCACAGCCTGGGAAATCCTGTGGCGCAGTTCAACTCTGTACTATGGACTGGCACCGACTCCGTTCGGCATCAAGTTTTCTAGCTTCCCCCTGCGGTCAAGGTCTGAGGCTCCATCAGCCCTGACCCCATCCCCCTTCTCCCAGGGGCTGGGCTGCCAGGAGAACCGGGCTGTGCTGAGCAGAGAGCAGGTGAGGAGGGGGTGCCGGCGGCGTCAGAGAAGCAAGTCGGTCCACAAGAGAGCACTGTTTCACGCGTTTATTTTTGGCAGGAAGGAAATCATTGCAAACTTCTTGATTGTCCCAGACGCGTGCCCATTCCACACGGAGTATTACCCAAGTGTTGATGGCATTCAGACGGCCAACAGACACAGGTGACCTCCCCCCTTCCCCGGACACCAGCATCTCCACGCCTGCAGAGAAGCTCCCCGGGAGGATGGAACAGGGCAGAAACAGCCCATTTGGCACAGGAAGCTAAAGGCGAACACCTCAAGCCGCGCTAACTCTTCTGGAACCCTGGCGAGCCAGCTGTCCATCACAGCACCTTGAAAAGCAGAGGCACAAACGTCACGGCTGTGGGACCCTGGAGTCCATGGGAGAGCCCTCTCTGGAGCACAGGGCCGGGAAATGCCGCGAGGTTACGGAGACACGTCGTCATCTTGGTGTCCCTCCCCCCCCACCCCAAGCTCTCATGCTGCGGCCGCCACAAGTGAGGGCCCTTGGGGCCTCCCCGTCCTCAGAGCATGTTCAACAGAACTGCACCACGACACAGGAGCTTCCCACTGCCCCGCAGTAGGCGCCCTGTCCCTCTAGAGTCCAGGTGCACACGTGGCAGCATCTGCAACCAGCGGACAGACAGACGGATGGAGAACTCCCAGGGGAGGCCTGCTCGGCTCCAGAGCAGTGGGAGACAGAGCGCTGACCACCTCCAGGGTGTCGGCCTGTCACAGCTGGCCAGGGTCTCCTGTCCCAGATCCTGGTGTACAAACAGACCAGCCCCGGAGACTGCCTGCTGCGGGAAGGGCCACGGATACTCAGGAAGCCAGGTTCTTATTTTTTTTGGCGAAAGGGTTGGGCGTTGTTTTGGTAATCTGGGGGATATATGGCACACAGAAAGAGTTGACAGGTTTCATGAGGATTTAAAGCCCACAATTTAATAAAAGGTGATCATTAGAAACAATACCCGTATTTACCTTTTTAAAAAAGCATTAAGAATAACCCCCAAACATTCATCTCATTTCTTGGTCTTGTGTTAGAATTCTATTGCTTCATTTATATGTAGATGATTAAAAAAATATATATGTAGAGATCGATATTTTTGATTATGTACATAAAGTCAAACGGAGGGTTAATTTTTAAAAAAAATGGAATTTGGAGTGTGGTCACATAAAGTGCACAGTTTCCAGAACCCTCGGAAGGCTTGCTGGGGCCCTGAGGGCCAGTCTGTGTCTGAGGTGGGTTGGTACAATGGCGTGCACAGTGTGGGGAACTACGTGAGACGTCTGGCTCAAGCCTGCAAAGTGTCTTCACTCCATTGGTCAGAGGTGCAACACGGTTCCTACATTGAATTCCTCGGAAATATTCTAGAATTTGAATAGTTTCTGCCCCTATTCCAAATAGGACCTGTGACGCCAACGGAGAAGGGAGCGGGGGTGAGGGCCCAGGCCCGTGGCTGTGTGGATTTCAACACACGGCAGACACGCGACTGCAACATTCAAGACATTTAAGGCGGCGGTTCATTTAATGACTGGTTTTCCAAATGAAGTTGTGTGGCGTGTACAGATCTGCCATTAACTGTCATCTGTGGACGTGCCCCAGCAAGGGACCGTCCCCATTTTAACTGGCATGTGAATTCCTGGGTTTGAACACTTAGAATACTGGGGGACCTGGTAATCCCTGAAGACTCATTTCTCATCTGAATGCACAGCAGCCTGCAGCCCAGGGTGCTGTCCGGAGGACATGATTGGCAGCTGGCCTTGTTATGTTGTGAATAGAAGCAAAACAGAACGTTTACTCTGACCCCATGTTTCCAGTCTGGTTAGTGCCAGCCGCTCCTCCAGGGTCGGCTACAGCGCTGGCTGAGGACCCGCCCACGGGGAACTAAGGCATCGGTTAGTGCCCATGCGAAAGGGCTCGTGTTTTGTGGTTTTCAAAACCCACACTGTACAGCCTGTCTTGTCCAACGAGGACCATAGCACTGCTGAAAACCCCTTGCTGGACAAGGCTGCACAGGGATCCCCGGCTCAGGGGTGGGAGCCCTTCCCCCTCCCAGCATGGGCGAGGAACTCCACATCTGCACGGGCTTCCTCACTCCTTGGCTCAGAAACCGGCTGTGCTTCAGAGGAGAAGTCCAAAGATGGACTTGGGCCACAGTAGCTTCAGGCCTTGCTGCGGCCACAGGCTCTCAAGAAAGAGAACCATCAGCTTATCGCAGGATCTGATGTTGACTGCAGTTTGCAACTCACGCCACACCCGCACCACACACTGGGGACCTTTGTCTTTGTGTCCTTCTGGGTCCTCCCCTGCCCGGTGCCAGGAAGAAGGGCCGGGCCGGTGCAGCCTGCAACGGAACGGGATCCCTCTGTCCCGACCCTGTCCAGGTGTGCAGCTGAGCAGTGAGCACATTCTGAGCATAGGCACAGTGGCAAAGAACAGTTTTACAGCCTCTGGTCAGTTCCATTTGGTGGCAGCTCGGTAGCAGCAAAGAACATTCCCCAACAGCTCCATGTGTCTCCAGCTTTTGGAAAGCAAAGGTCTAAACATCAATAAACAGATGATCTCTATCTCTCTGTCTCCTAGGGGTTTCGGATTGCCTGTCACCGCTCCACCCAAGACAATGGCAAGCACAATGGCAAACCCAAAGACAAACCGACAAACCGGCACAGAAGTACGGCAGTCTTGTGAATTTCTGAAGTGACATGATGTCACTTTCCACGGGGGCCAGGTGACCCCACCACACATTTTTTGCCATCAGGAACTAAGCATCATAATACTAGAGAAGAGCCTCTCCTTTTCTACTGAGCCACGCGGTGGCAGATCCGTTTCACAGTGGCGACAGCGGCAGGCTCAAAAAACTCCCCACCAGGAGCTGTTTGTCAAAGCAAAGCCACACCTGCTGGGGGACAGCCTCTATGACTTCTGTCCTCTTCCTCCCCACCCCCCAACACGAGGTTCTAGAAAATGGTTGTGTTTGTCTCCTTCGAGCATCAAAGACAATAAAAGACTAAAAGATGTCTGGAAATACATTGTATAGAAAAACGAACTCTTGGCTTTAAAATAGCATTCAGAAAGGCACTTCATCCTGTAGGAAAGAGGTTCTGAGTTGTGCCAGCTGCCCGGAGCAGGGCGAGCAGGGCACGGTGTTTGCCTGAAGGAGAGGGCCGTGGAAAGGAAGTCTGTGGATAGCAAGCTTTTTTTGTGGTTGTTTTCTCCTTTTTGGTATGTCTTAAGAAAAGCAAATCCAGTAAAATGCATGTCCCTTTATGAAATTCCATGAAAAGAGTTCTTTTCAAAATCGTCGTCGTTGTTGTTTCTGTTCTTGGAAAAAAAGAACAACAGCGACAGGTCGGCACAGCACCGTTCACCGGCGACCCTGGGCGGAGGCGTCACTTCTGCACCTGAGGGGCTGGGCCCGGCAGGTCCCTCGAGGCCGCCGCTACCTACTGCAGAGTCTGTGCAACACGCTGTACACGTCGTCCTCGCGGCTCAGGCCCTCAAAGAAGGGGATGAGGTCCAGCAGCTCCGTGTCTGTCATGTCATCGAACCAGGACTGCACAGGCACCTGCAAGACAGGAGTGGTGTGGGTGGGCGGAATAGGGTGGAGAGCCCAGCACCATCATTGCCATCGCTGTTTTGCCTGTTCCTCTCATTCCCATGACGGGCCCGCCCAAAGCGACCCAGGATTAGGAGCTGGCTCAGGAAGGCAAAGTGAAGTGTATCTAGTTCAAAAGCATTTGCTATGTGAGGACTGCCCTCAACACTGGCCAGTTTCCAAAAGCTCCCTCCACGGCATCAAAGCCACTCCCTGAACCTCAGAGGGCTCAGAGGCTGCAGGCCAGCCAGAGACACCAGAGGCCTCTGTTACCAGAGGGCTACTCTGCTAGGTTGCAAGGCACTGAGGTGGGGAATTGCCCCCACACTTAACAGTGAGCAGTCCAGAGCAGAAGTAGCAAACGTCAGGACATTCCAAAGCCCCGGGCAAAGACAGGCCTTTCCCTTGGTTTCCGGTAGAGGAGTGTGGAGGGTGATGAGTGTGCGGGAGCCAGAGTGCAAGGCAGTGATGTCAAAAGAAATTTGGGGGACCCCCTCCAATTTTAAAAATAACAATTTCAGTCCTTTTAACACATCCAAGATAGCTTAGAAATACAAAAATTCAGCATGTGA